GAAGACATTTTTCAATATATGCACATGCAACTTTGGAGCACCAAAATATATAAAACAATTATTACCAGACGTAAAGGATGAAACTGACAGCAACACAATAATAGTTGGGGACTTTTAACACCCAAATTACATCAATGGATAGATCATTCAGATAGAAAGTCAGCAAGAAAACAGCAGCCTTAAATGAAACATTAGATTAGATGTTTCATAGATTTGTACAGAACATCTCATCCAAGTGCGGCAGAATAAACATTCTTCTCAAGTGCATATGGAACTTTCTCAAAAAATATGTTGAGATACAAGTCTTGGAAGCCCAAGAATACTGGAGTGGGTAGCTTATCCTTTCTCCAGTGGATCTTCCCGACCCAGGAATTGAACCATGGTCTCCTGCATTATAGGTGGATTCTTTTACCAACTGAGCTATCAGGGAAGCCCTAAAAGGCCTATTTTATCTATCAGACAAAATAGAGATAGGAAAAAGGTAACAGTGTGACTTTTCTGGTGGTCCAGTGGCTAAGACTCCAAGATCTCAATGCAGGAGGCTTGGGTTTGATCCCTTGTCAGGGAACTAGATCCTGCATGTCACAACTAAAGAGCCCACATGCTGCAATGAAGATGGAAGTGCTGCAACTAAGACCTGGTGCAGCCAAATACATAAAGAAAAAAAAAGAAAAACAAAGGTAACAAGAGACAAAGATGGACATTATATAATGATAAAAGGAACAATTCATTAAGAAGACATTTTTCAATATATGCACATGCAACTTTGGAGCACCAAAATATATAAAACAATTATTACCAGACGTAAAGGATGAAACTGACAGCAACACAATAATAGTTGGGGACTTTTAACACCCAAATTACATCAATGGATAGATCATTCAGATAGAAAGTCAGCAAGAAAACAGCAGCCTTAAATGAAACATTAGATTAGATGTTTCATAGATTTGTACAGAACATCTCATCCAAGTGCGGCAGAATAAACATTCTTCTCAAGTGCATATGGAACTTTCTCAAAAAATATGTTGAGATACAAGTCTTAATACACTTCAGTTCAGTTCAGTCGCTCAGTCGTGTCCAACTCTTTGTGACCCCATGAACTGCAGCACGCCAGACCTCCCTGTCCATCACCAACTCCTGGAGTCTACCCAAACCCATGTCTGTTGAGTTGGTGATGCCATCCAACCATCTCATCCTCTGTCGTCCCCTTCTTCTTCTCCTGCCCTCAATCTTTCCCAGCATCAGGGTCTTTTCAATACACTTAAGAAGACTGAAATCTTATCAAAAGTCTTTTCTGATAACATGGCATGAAACTTCTACAACGATATAGAAATCAACAAGAAGAAAGTTGGAAAAATCACAAATATGTGGAAACTGAACAATGTGCTACTAAACAATACGCGACTGAATAACTAGGAGGTCAACAAAGAAATCAGAGGAGAAATTAAGAATACTGAAGATGAAAATACGACATGCCAAAATCTATGGGATGCAGCAAAAGAGGCAAAAAGAGGGAAGTTAAAGCAATACATGCCTACCTCAAGAAACAAGAAAAATTTCAAATAAATAATCCAACCTCACACCTAAAGGAACCAGGAAAGAATAAATGCAGCCTAAAGTCAGTAAAAGGGAGGAAACAAAAAAGATCAGAGTAGGAATAAATAGACTATAAAGATAATAGTAAAGATCAATGAAACTAAGAGCTGGCTGTTTGAAAAGATAAATAAAACTGACAAACTTTTAGCTAGTCTCAGAAAAAAAGAGGTAAGACTTTGATAAAGGCAGAGATGAAAGAGGAGAAATAAGAATGGGTACCACAGAAATACAAAGAATTATAAAAGAATATTATAATTAGCTATATTCCAACAACTGGACAACCTAGAAGAAATGGACAAATCTTAGAATCAATGTTCCAAGACTAAATAATGAAGAAATAGAAAATGTCAATAGACCAAACTCTAGTAAAGAGATTGAAACAGTAATAAAAAACCTCCCCCCAACAAAAGTCCAGGGCAAGACAGCTTCCCAGGTGAATTCTATTAAGCATTCAAAGAAGATTCAATACTTCTCCTCAAAGTCTTCCAAAAAATTGAAGAGGAGGGAATACTTCCTAACTCATTTTACAAGGCCCACATTATCCTGATAAGACAACCAGACAAGGACAACACAAAAAAAGGAAATTAGAGGCCCATATCTCTGATGAGCATGGAGAACTGTATGATGATGGATGGGAACTAAAGTTTTGGTGGTGAGCATCCTGTAGTAGGTATTTCTACACAGTGAAACTTATATAATAAACCAATGTTACCTCAATAAAAATAAATTTAAAAAAGAAAAAAATAAATTTAACTACATAAAAATTTAAAACTTCCCAATATGGGCAAAAAGTATACTATAAAGAAAATCAAAAGGAAAATGAAAAATTTTGAAAATATATAAGCAATTTAATTGATAGATGAAGAACTATCCTAAAGTTCCTCAAAGCCCATAAGAAAAAAGACCAACAACTTATCAGGAAATGTGCAAAACCATATGAACAGTGGGTTCATAGGTTCAATAAAGACAAAATCTGCTAAAGGATCTGCTTCTTATAGAGACTCCACTATTAGGCAGAGTGCACTAGAGTTGAGTATTTGGGATTATGGGGCCAATATAAGGGACTTCAGAATTAAAGATCTGGGCTTTGGGACACTGTCATCAATAATTATCAAGAAGAAATTATCATAGTTTCTTCCCTTACCTGATTTAGCATGACATCATAGACATCATTTCCTTCACAGTACACATGGGCCTAGAGAGAAAGAAAAAACTGACATTTGTACATTCCCAGCCCTGATGAGATCATAAGTGAGGTTTGAAATTTTTTATGTCCCAAACTATCACTCTCCCACATTACCAACATGCATCTTCCAGGGAAAGAAATGCAAAAGTATGTTCTTCTAAACATAACCTGTCAATCCTATAATGAAAACATGTTGCCTTTATGTAATTACAGAAACACAAATAAGTCTAACTCAGTAAAGGCAACCTGTTCCAGAAGGAGCCTTTCTTCTGTATTCTTCAAATCCTTTTCCCATTCATCAGTAACTCATGCCATACATACCAGTGCACATTTTCTCATTAGAACACTGATAATGATACAATTTTCTAATTGAGAAAGAGGTGTGGAAAGCTGATGACAACCCCATAAGTTAACCATGCTAGAAAACACCATGATTAGTACTCCCAAACCCCATGCTGTTCATCCCTTAGCCTTGGAAAAATTTTGGAGAGGATTCCTAAAATACATAATAGCAATGTTCCAGACAAGAATCCCAATAAGAACAATGGTTCTTTGAGAAATTAGTGGGAGTCTCTTACCTTCCCCACCTTGGCTGTGCACTCTGGGTCCACCGGAGCTTTGCCCTTTAACAGTAAGGTCTTCACAGACTCTGAGGGAAGACAGATAAGTACCATATCTACTTGTATGGGAAACAAAAACAGCTGTCATGGTTAGCTAGAAACCTGTCATAAGTCACTCTGCCCTTCCCAAGCAACTTGATCTGCTCAAATCTCAGTTTATTATAATAAAATATGTGAAACTAAAGCTTTTGAGAAACTAGGTGAGTTCTATGATGTGCCCAAAAGATAAAGTTAATTATATCTTCAAGGAAAGAAGAAATGAGTTGAAAGAACAAAAACAAAGAACTCTCCCACCCTTAGCCCTCCCAGCGACCCTCCTGCTGGTTCACCTCCTCCTTGGTGTATGTCGGGGGCTGACCTTGCTTGTCTTCAGTCTTGTCATTATCTGCCTTTCCTTCAGCCACAGGCTCCTCTTTCACCCTGTGACATTTTCGAATTTTCTTTGCAGGAGGAGGGTCTTCTGCAACTGTTTTGCCATTATTAACCCTTTCAACTTTATTCAAAATAGGCAAGAAGAATGGGCAAAGAAGCAAAAAGAATGAGTACAGACTGAATATGATGCTACTATGCAAAAACATCTTTTTAAAGAAATAGATTAAGATGGTTTCGTAAATTTACAAAGGAATAATAACTGCCATACCACTCAGGAAACAGTCTGAGTTCCTGAACCAATATTCTAGCTAAACAAAACAACTCACAGATCATGTGAGTTCATGGCCTCAGGCATCAGTCTCAAACTGCTTATCTTTTCTGTTTACTTGTGCCCCGATACCCTCCAAATTCCTATCCTCAAACTACAAAAGCTGGTATGAAATAGTTTAATAGAGTGCTCTGGAGTCTGTGCCCTGTCTCCGCTAACTGGAGAATCAGTGTAGAAGTTATTTCATTTCTTTGTACTTCAGTTGCCCTAACTGAAAAATCCAGAGGAAGACAACACATTTAAGAACACAATACACAGAGTATGATATGTCATAAGCCAATTTTAAGAGCTGCATTTTATAATCTCTGAAACTGGGATGCATTTTACAAGGGATGACTTATAAGCTGCGAATCACGTTTTAACTGGAAGCGTTTTTCCTTGCTCAATGGTACATAAAATAATGGTGCACCTTACACTTAATTTTTTTAAACTGTTTTGTATTAGGTATTTAAAACCGTGTTGACACTAAGTTGTAACAGGTCAACAGGCGGTCAGACACAATTTTGTAACCCCCAAAAGCTATGACAACCGAAACTGTCAAAGTTCGGCATCAACACAAATGCTGGTTCAGGGAGCGATGGAATTAGGAAGGGCTATAGTAGAAGGCACAGCTCCTTTTCTGAATCCCCGCTCCCAGTATTCTGGCCCACACAGCTCACTCCGAACCTCGCGCTCTGCCGCCGGCAGTCCTCCGCCGTCGAGCTGCCATGGAGCCCGAATGCTGACGTCATCAGCCCGCTCCCAGTAATCGCCGGCGCAGTCTAAAGGCGGGAACCGTAGCGCGTGCACGTCCCAGCGTGGAACTGCCAGGGGCGGGACGCACTGTAATATTTGCATATCGCAATGTCTTATGGGAAGTCACCGTAAGCGACAAGTGGCTTTAGGTCTGCGCGCATTATAAATGCTCTTTGCGCGCGTTATCCTCCGTGGGGCGGCGGGAAGCTCATCAGTGGGGCTACGAACTGAGTGCGCTTAGTCACTCTATCCAATGTCCCTTGGGAAGGTCTGAGACTAGGGCCATAGAGCAGCCCTAACAGGGCTCTCCCTGAGCTTCGGGGAGGTGAGTTCCCAGAGAACGGGGCTCCGCGCGAGGGTAGACTGGGCAGGAGATGCCATGGACCCCGCCCTTGCGGAGGGGCCTGGCGGATGCCTCCTTAGCCGGAGCTTGGAACAGACTCACGGCCAGCGAAGTGAGTTCAATGGCTGAGGTGAGGTACCCCGCGTGGGGGGCCTCATAACCCAATTCAGACTACTCTTCCGCCCGTCCTTTTTTAATGAAATGCTGCTTTCAGGCCTGAGGCTAAGAGAATGGTAATGAACTCAGATTTTTAGAACAGGTGGGTGCCACCGTGAGGGATGGGTGGGGGCGCGGGATATCCCACAAGCTCCATTTCAGACACTCTGAATTAAAACTCAGATTCTGCGTTTTTAACAACAACCAAGTATTGGTGACTTTCATATAGATTTTTATCCACATATTTATTGGACACCTGGGCGAGTTTTGGCAATATGGTAGTTCAGCCAAAATAGACATGGTTCTTGGTTCTTGGGGACAGACATTAATCAAATAATCACACAAGCAAAAGCAGCAACGGTGCTGTAAGAAGTATACAGTACTTACGGAAGTTGTGAGTTGTGTGAACTGTTAGTCGCTCAGTTCTGTCTGACTCTTTGCTAGCCCATGGACTATAGCTCTCCAGGCTCCTCTGTCCATGGGATTTTTCCAGGCAAGAATACTGGATTGGGTTGCAATTCCCTTCTCCAAGGAATCTTCCGCACCCAGCGGTTGAACCCACGGGAAAGCAGTACTTTAGGGCTGTATACTGTCACCTTGCTTATTTAACTTCTATGCAGAGTACATCATGGGAAGTGACGGGTTGGATGACTCATAACCTGGAATCAAGACCTGCTGGGAGAAATATCAACAACCTCAGATATGCAGATGACAGAATGACTCTAATGACAGAAAGCCAAGAGGAGCCTGGCAGGCTGCAGTCCATGGGGGGTCGCAAAAGAGTCAGACACTAGTTAGCGACCAAACAACATTAACAATGCTATGAGCTTTACATATATTTAATTCTCACAACAACCCTGTTGTTACGTAGGTATTATTGTCTATATTTTACAGTTGAGAAAATTGAACTCTAGAAAAATGTGAGTAATTTATTCAAAGTCGCAGTGTATTGGTTTGCTAGGGCTGCCATTACTAAAAACTACAGACTGGATTGCTCAAACAAGACAAATTTATTTTCTCAAAATTTTGAAGGCTAGAAGCCCAAGATAAAGGTGTTGGCAGCATTGGTTTCTCTAAGGCCTTTCTCCTTGGATTGCAGGTGACTGTCTTTTCCCGGTATCTTTCTTACTAAGCTTGTTAACTTGAATATTTCCCTGATGGTAAGTTCTAACTTGAGTAGATCTAGACTACTAACCCAAAAGAATGAAAATTGGAGTAGGTCCATCTAAACTAGAATATGTGTAAATACCTTGAATTAGTCCGTGCTAAGTATATTAACTCAAAAGGAAGCTTGGTTTAAAAAGTTTAATCTAAGAACGGTGCAAGTAGCATCTTTGCTCCTTAAGGAGACAGGTACCTGAAGCGGGTGGGGGTAGGGGGGACAGGTTGCGTCTTTCCAGCGCTTTTAAGGTAAAGGAGGGAGGGAATCATCATTAGCCAATCAGGCTCTGAGGTCACTTCTTAAAGTCACTTCCTGTCTCTCCACTTCCTCTCTTTTCATTTTGGTGGTGGGCTGGTGAGTATGCGTTTAATTTTGATTCCTAATTGTTTTGAATTTCTCTTCAGTTTGAGGCACTATATCCTTGTGGCAGCCTTATTTTCCAGCTAGGCTTGGAGTGTATGTGAGCTACTAAGCGATTAATTTCGGCTGTGTGGAAATTGGAGGAAGGCAGTGAAATGATCTGCCTGGCTTATTTCCACGTGAGTCTCTGCAGGACCGGGTCTGCCTTCCTTTTCTGAGACAGGGTGACCTAGGAACAATAAACTCTGCTTCTTGTACATAGTGTTTCTGCAAAATGCCTGGATTCATTTTGCTTGGGGGAAAAGGTACTGTTATTTTCTCAATGCTGTTTTGACTTCTTTTAGTGAGAGGGTAGATCTTGGAAGAGGAGTTTAGACCAGTCAGCTTTAATTCTCCTGTGTCTGCAGGGCTCAGGTTTTTACTGGGTTTATGGGAGCTGGATTGGATGTTGTTTTTGCCCTGGTCTTTGCTCAGAGCAGTTCATCTTTCTTGTTGGGAGGACACTGCAAACTCCGAAGTCAGATGATTTTAACAAGCTTCAGGAGGAGCTCCTAATTTTAATGTCAGCACTATGGTGATAGTGCTCTGAAAAGCTTAGGATGTACTGAAAAAGATGAGGGCCTTAGCTTAGTGCAATCCTAAATGAAATTCCAACACCACAGTCTACTCCTCTAGTGATCTTAAGTGAGTCAGTGAACCGTTTTGAGGCTTAGCTTTTGAAGATCAAAGTATACGAAGTCCAAGCACTAGTGGATGTATAATAAATGTTACATACCTTCTAGAAATAAGCAATAAATATATTTTGGGTATTATTTTTCTCCTAAAAAGTTTTGCCCAGTGACCTTGAGTGATATACATTAATATATGAGTTATCCTTACAGGTAGAGGGTGTTGAGCAAGTAAACTCATATTTTAGCATTGTTAGGAAAAATGGGAATGTATTGGGGACTGTAAACATGCAAAATAAAAGAGGAAGACTTTGTGAATTCCTCCAAAGCTATTTATTTTAAAAAGTCTTAAAAGTCCGAGATATGTCTTGTGAAACAACTAATTTTTCAGTTAGAGGTTTTGTTGAGTGGTAGAAAAATTAGTTTTCAATGGAGATATGCTTTATCTTATTTTATATCTATTTTACATAATGTAATCCTCACAACAGTTCTAAGAGGTAGGTGGTGTTTGTCCTCATTTTAAGGAAAGGAAATCTGAGGCTTAGAGAAGTTGCATAACTTGCCCCAGGTCACAACAAATGGATCTAGGAGTCAAATCTATCTCTGTCCAACTTCATTATCTTAACCATTAAGCTAAGTTGCCTGTCACTTATTTAAACCTTGCTTGTATACCTATAAAATGGAAAAGATAACATAGTACTTGCAAAATGAGTTACTATAAGGATAGTGCTTTATAAATTCTAAGGCAGAGTATTATGAAATAGATAAAATATGAAGTTATTCCTTATTGCTGTTTTGACCCAAAGCCCTCAGGTACTGTATTTTTTTATTTCATTTTTTTTCCATTTATTTTTATTAGTTGGAGGCTAATTACTTTACATCATTGCAGTGGTTTTTGTCATACATTGAAATGAATTAGCCATGGATTTACATGTATTCCCCATCCCGGTCCCCCCT